CTTTCCATATCAATGATGAAGTTATGGATTAGATGAGTATTATTTTTAATGGTTCTTAATTTAATATATTCAATTATACATTCTATACATTATATTTTTGTTCACAATTATAGGAATCTTTATCATGTGGCTGTGGGATTCCAAATTCCTTTATTTTGTTTTCATTGACCTAGTTGCCATCCAATCTATTGGTAACAAAGACATTGAGATGAGTCAATATTTGATTGACCGGTTTAAGGATGGAGGAAAAGAGGTGTAATTAGCACCTTATTTGAATAAGTATTTACGTTATATATAATTTTAAGTTTACAGTAACTTACATGTTTCTAACAATATTAAAAAATGTAATGCACATTAGCAACTCCTCGTGATAATTCCAAGGTAGTTTCAAGTAGTTTTCTTGTCTTTATTACACAAGAAAACTACAAATTTACCCATTAGACACATAATCGATTTTTAGGTATCTACTATCAATCTTTGTCAAATTTTTTTATACTTCCATGAAACAAATAAATATTTTATCATTTAACTATTTTTAATTTATCATTTGTTTTCGTAGGTCTTTAGAAATAAGCTTGAGGTTGCAGGGGCTTCCTCTGATAGCTAGGAAGAAGCTTCAATGTATTGTTTCCAAAGTAACTCAATTGTCAACCAAATAGTAGTTAAAGTTTAATTAAATATATTTTAAGTATGATTTATTTATATTTTATATTATAGTGCCCCCATCAAGCTGGTAATCATGAGTGTGACTTATGTGATGAAACATATGTCCCCTATCATTACCGACAACATTAGGGACTCATGGAGAGAGGTTATACATTTTTAATTCAAATTTATTACTTTAAATGATTATACAACAATGTAATGATCGACTAATGCTAATTTATCTCTATTTTGAATTAATTGTGTAAGTATTCAAAAATCCACATCCCCCTACAGCAATGTAAATCGTTGAATTAAGTTTGAGCTGCCATGTTAAAGTTTTCATTTAGTCTTCCCTTAAAATACCAGTCGCTAATTCAATTTTAAAATTTCCAAATGCATATTGTAGAGCGGAAGAGAGCCAAGATGAATGTCGATAAAAATTTCCAAATGCATATTATTGAGTGGAAGAAAGCTAAGATGAATGTCAGTTTGGTTAAGGTGGTAGAAGAGACTTTTGCTGCAGCAAAATGCTCCGTTGGGCAGCAAAATGCACTGTTGAACTTAGATTCTACCATCAACACTTCCCCTTTTTCTCTTTTCTTGTTAGTCTCATTACCTTTTAAAGCAATAGTGTCATTTGCTTTAAGGTGTTCCTTACTATTCAAGTAAATTTTATGAACTCTTAAAACTTTAAGAAGTTCATCAAGAGTGAGATTTTTAAGATCATGTGTTTTTGATATAGTTGTGGCTTTGGGTTCCCAAATCTTAGAAAAGTTGTTCAAAATTTTGAGATTATTCTAAGCTCTAAAGAGCTCAATTCCTTATATTTTGTAAAAAAATATTTATATACCCAAAAAATAATATTATAATCAAATGTGAGAATCTTTATTTCCCAGAAAATCTATATAAATATTCTAATAAATTTTTATATGTAACCAAATAGATTTTAGTCATTCCTAAGAATTATAATTCCCGAGAATCATGATTCTTGGATATGAAGAAACTTCTTCCTTGCCAAAAGCAACCTATTAAACGCCATCTAAAAGAAACACAAGAAGGTGTTTATGAGATAAAGGAAATTTAAGTAAAACAGTAAGAGGAAGAAGAAAAGGAAAATGTGTTCGTAAAAAGCAAAACATTAAAATTGCTCACAAAGGGGGCATTTGGTAGGAGATTTTTTTTACTATACTTGAAAATTATAATTCTTGAGAATTACAAATTTTAAAAATCATGATTCCTGAAAATGATAGAATTTGTTTGATTACTCATGAAGATTCCTAATAATATTTATATAAGTTTTCTGAGAAATAAATATTCCCACATTTGATTACAATATTACTTTACCAAGTATATAAATATTTTTTAACAAAAATATCCTTTATAAAATATTAAGTTTCTTCTTCTTTGTAGGCCTAACCATGCCATAATCTAAACTTGGAAAAAAAGAATGATTTTATTATTATCATTCATACGTATTACATTTTCCTTACACCTATTTGTAACAATCTAATCTTCCAAAATAAGGAAATAAGGAAAAAATATTCTAAAAAATAAGCTAGAAGATTCTACAGATATTTTCTCTAATTAGGAAGATTTTCCTCTAATTACAACACTCCCCCTCAAGTTGGTAAATGAATATCAAACATTCCCAACTTGCCTACAAGATCTTGAAATCTACCCTAAGGAAGTCCTTTTGTAAAAGTATCTGCTATCTGAAGTTCTATAGGAACATGAGTTGTAATCACAAAGCCTTTTTCTAGATTATCTTTGATGAAATGTTTGTTAATCTCAATGTGTTTGGTCCTTTCATGTTGTATTGGATTATGGGCAATGCTCATGGAAGACTTATTGTCATAGTATAGTTGCACGAGATTGTCCACCTTGACTTTAAGGTCATCCAAAATGATTTTCATCCAGAGTCCTTCACACATTCCTTGAGCAAGGGCTCAAAATTCAACTTCTGCACTAGAACGAGATACTCTATCTTGCTTTTTGCTCCTCCACGTTACCAAACTATCTCCAAGAAACATACAATACCCAAAAGTAGATTTTATGTCAGTAATAAAACCTGCATAGTCAGCATCAGTATATATTTTCATAGTCAATGTGTCTTCCCTATTGAACAATAGCCCCTTTCCTAGATTGACTTCAAGTACTGGAGAATTTTGTCAACTGCTTGCATGTGTCTCTCTCTTGGATCATGCATAAATTAGCTTACTACACTAGCTGCATAGCATAAGCAATGTTTGGTCTTGTGTGTGATAGATAAATCAATTTTCCTACCAATCTCTGATATTGGGCCTTCTCCACAGGAGCACTTTCTTCACTTCCAATTTTGTGATTCTGTTCTATAGGAACTGTTGAGGTTCTACATCCTAGCTTTCCTGTTTCTTTGAGGAGATCAAGTACATATTTCTTTTGGGAGATGAAAATTCCCTTCTTGGAGTAAACAACCTCTATTCCAAGAAAATACCTAAGTTTTCCTATGTCTTTCATTTCAAATTGGGTTGCCAATTTTTCTTTTAATACCAATTTTTCTGTTTCATTATCTCCTGCAATAATCATATCATCCACAAAGATAAGCAATAAAGTGAGTTTACCTGTAGAAGAGTGCTTTATGAATAGAGTATGATCTCCTTGGCTTTGTCTGTATCCCAAGGAAACCGTTGCTTTTGTAAATCTTCCAAACCATGCTCTAAGGGATTGCTTAAGACCATACAATGCTTTCTTTAGGAGACATACCTTGTTTCTTTCATTTTGCACTTCAAAACCTGGGGGAATCTCCATGTACACTTCATCTTCCAGATTTCCATGAAGAAAGACATTCTTCACATCCAACTGGTGTAAATCCCAACCAAAATGAGCAGCCAAAGCGAGAACAACTCGAACTGTATTCATCTTTGCCACTGAGGAAAATGTCTCCTCATAGTCAATCCCATAAGTTTGGGTATAGCCTTTTGCCATAAATCTAGCTTTATATCTTTCTATTGTCCCATTTGCCTTATGTTTCATTGTGAATATCCATCTACATCTTACTGCCTGCTTTTCTCTTGGCTTATCAACAATCTCCCAAGTTGAATTTATTTCTAATGCATTCATCTCTTCTTTCATGGCTTGAGTCCAATGTTCAAGTTTCATGGCCTCCTAGACTGAGGTAGGAATTTCTATGGCATCAATGGTAGCAATAAAGCTTCTATGCTTATCAGAGAGATTTTTAGAACAAACATGTCGAGAAATAGGATATTTAGCACATGACCTTGTTTCCTTTCTTAATGCAATGGGTAAATTGATGGCAAAAACAAGGAGAAGTGGTAGATGTTCTTCTCCTCGGATTCACCAATGCTTGGACCTCTTCAATGGAGCTTGAAATCCGAATGTAAGACACTTGAAGGAGTGAAGACTTTCAAACTTAGGGTTCCTAGACTATGGATGGAAGCATCCAAGCTTGACTCTAGATAATAAAAATCGACATAATATTGTCGGTCATTCGTCGGCTTTTGGCTGAAGCTAAATAAGTCGACACAATTTTTTTTGTGTTGGCTAAGTCGTGGGTAACAATTTTATTTATTTTAATTTTTTATTGTCGGTTTTTTAGGAAGAAAAATAAAACTTAATATCTCTTATTTATCAAAAAAAAATTATGATAATCGATCAATTTTAAAATAAATAACCACATTTACAAAAATGTCACCTAACATCTACTAAATTAATTACAAAACAATCAATGTAATAGCTTAAGGATGTAAGCTATTCTTACATCACTACAAAAATGTTTCGTTTTAGAGTTGGCTCTTTCGGCCGACTCTAGATAATAAAAATCGACATAATATTGTCGGTCATTCGTCGGCTTTTGGCTGAAGCTAAATAAGTCGACACAATTTTTTTTGTGTTGGCTAAGTCGTGGGTAACAATTTTATTTATTTTAATTTTTTATTGTCGGTTAAGTCGACACTACGTCGACACAAAATTTATTTTATTTTTTTCTTCATCTTCTTTTTCTAATTTATCATTTATTTGTTCGTAATTTTAGCATTACCGAGACTCGATCCTGAAACCTTAACGTGTTAAGGGAACTTGATAACCAATTGTACCATCATACATTATATATATATAAGATTAAAAAAATCATCTTTATCTCTCTCAAAGCATGTATAGTATAAAAAAAAATCATTATTCTTTAGAATAGTGTCGGCTTTTCCAACACTAAACTCAATTTAAATTTAGTGTTAGAAAAGCCGAAACTACATCTTAAAATAGTGTCAGCTTTTCTGATAATATTTGCGTCAGCTATTAGCCGACGCTTATTTTCTGCAACTATTTCATTGTATTCTTGTAGTGCATCCTTAAAGCAATCCTCAGTTTCTTATAATAAATAAATCATTATTGTTGACAATTAATATTTAAGTACAAAGCATAATCCCTTAATTTAAAGACTCGACAAAGACACGGAGCTTACACCATCACTCTTTAGTATCCTTATATTTTTTTCATGTAACAACGATTTCAAATTAATGACGACCGCAATTGCAAGTAGTAGCACAAATTTCTCTCATTCAGAAATTTGAATTTTTTCAGCACATATAAATGATTCCTTGCATCCTAACAGCTTGTTTAGTGCAACCAAATAAGCTTCAACACTGGAAACAACAACATCCATTCCTGTTCCAATCCCACTATAGAAAATAGAAAAATGTAATACATTAATTAGTTGTATAGGTATATAACATTTGAAAGAAAATGATAAACCTTAGCAATAAACATTATATGGATTTATCATACCTATACGTTGGATAAGTTATATTGAAAGCATAGGTAGATGTATGATAGTTCTCCCTACAAATTACAACTCGTGCAGTGGAAGTTACACTAATGCCTTCGGTGACTGAGTTCAGTGAGTATTCCAAAAGTTTTATAGGTTCCTTCATAAAATAGTATAAGATTCTTCTCTCATGCCAATAGTTCAAACAAATATTAAATATAACATAAAAATGCGTAAGCAATGTATAATCTAATTGACAATGATTTTGTATTTTCAACGTTACTCTTAAAGTAAAACAAAACTGTCAGTGTTTCGATACAAAATGACCATTAAAAATAAAGACCGTTCTAACTCTTAAACATTCTTCTTTAAAGCTTAGTCTTTGGATTTGGACTATTAGATTACTAAGTAAGAGAACAAACCAATGCATGTAAGGGTCTAAATGATTGTACATGCTAAAAGACCCACTAAAGCTTTTAAAATCAAAAGGACTTGGTAGTGAAAAGAAATTTGTCAAACTTCAAACCTTCACAATGAGATTAATGGCCTTGTAAGCTGAATCCACTGCTCCTGTACCAATTGAACAAGCAACATGTGTGCTGTTGTTAGTGGTAACAAGTTTGATTGTTGTTGTTGAAAGACCCATTGGAAGAATTGCTTTTTTTCTTTCTTTTTCTTTTGTTTTTCTCAATTTTTCTTTTGCTAAAAGTTTTTCTTCTTTATGTTTAAGAATGAAACTTTTTTTCTCCAAAATTGCAAGTTGTGCTTCTCTTTCAAGTTTTTCTTTTTCTCTTTTTAACACTTCTTGCTTTGTCCAAGGTGTTAGAGGCTTAAGCTCTTGAGTAGATTGCAAAAAATATTTTGAAGAGCTTGATTCACTAATACCTAAGGTGTGTTTTCTCATGACTAAACAAAAAGAGTTTTATATGCTATGCAAAAAGAAAATATTTTTGGTCTTATGATTCGAAGATCATATGAAAAGGTGTCATATGATCATTTGCTCCTAAATCAAGAATTCAAATACCTTGAGACACAGGACCTATAATATGAAGAGAACTCTTACCTTTCATGGACAGAATACATGGTCCATAGGACTTACTTATTGATTCAATCATTGCTTTCAAACGATCTAGTTCCTTTTCGAAAGCTTTCATCTCAAGATCTGATGGTGGTGACGTAATGGATTGATTTAACGACTTTGTCTGTGGCGACAACGATGAGTGGGCTACACCAGAAAGTAGCAAAAACTCAAAAAACTCAGATCTACTAGAATCTAAGCCAAACGGGATGTCACCGACCCATGGAACAGACTTAGGAAGCTCTGGCGACCGATTTTATGATAGTGGTGGCGAATGGGTCTTGCTGGAGCTAGGCGCGTGGGCTACACGCGTCGATGACTGTGGTGGCGTGTGGCCACATCTTTCCCATAGCAATTTCCGACGTTGTGTTCGCTGGAGGAGGGCGCACCTTTCTGCCTATCAACAACCCCTACGGTGGCTGGACAGCGATAGCAGTGGCTACTGCTGTAGTGGAAACGGAGCTCCCAAGATTGGGAGCTTTGATACCAACTTGGAAAAAAAGAATTATTTTATTATTATCATTCATACGTATTACATTTTTCTTACACCTATTTGTAACAATCTAATCTTCCAAAATAAGGAAATAAGAAAAAAATATTCTGAAAAATAAACTAGAAGATTCTACATATATTTTCTCTAATTAAGAAGATTTTGCTCTAATTACAACTTCTACAATTAAAAAAATATCATATTTAACTTAAAATAAAAAGTCAATAATTTACATATAATTAAATTATATGCAAATACATAGTACATGAAAGTGTAAAATATGATTTACATGTTCTATCATAATAAAAAGAAAAAAGTTAAATTAATAATCAAAATAAAAATTTAAACTATAATATAAGTAAACTAGAAAACAACAAAGAACATATATAACTTTTTTTACTTAAATAATTTGTTAAATTTAATAGTTAAAAATCATAATAAAAAATTAGAAATACAATTTTATAATTTATATATTTTAAATAATTATAAAATATCATATCTTATTAAAATTATATAACTATTTGATTTTTATTATTAAGTTAACGAGAAAAGTGATAAAAAAAAAACAAATAGTAATTCTTACCTAATTACAATCAAATATTTTGTAATAAAAAACATAGTAAAATACTTTATTAAATGTTTATATTTAATTAGTTAATGAAACTAATGCATTTTTGTGTTCGTTGTTCAAGTGATAATAGACAAAAATATTAATTAAGTTTTACATATTGGAATTATATTTGATGGAATCATAGAAACACACAATTTAATAGTTCAATCAAATATATATTGACACAAAATAATCAACAAATAGAAAATTATGAAAATAATGAGTTTTAATCAATAAAAATTCTCACATCACAAATAGATAGAAGAACAAGAAAGAGAGAGATGGTCTTACATGAAGTTTGTGAGAAAGTATGCAATGCTGTCATATCTTTCTCAATATTTAAAAAAAGAACAATGAAGTGTGTGAGAAGATGAATCCCAACTATATATTTTCTGTTTTTAAAAAAGGATACTATAGTTTTTTTTTTTTATATATAAATAAAATTTTTCCCTAACTTGAGAAAATTGGATTATCAACTTTTCCTAAGAATGTTTTTGTGGGAAAGTAGGATAAAAATGATAGTTGAGAAACTATATCTCCTAGATTTTTTTTAAATAGATAGCAAACATAGGAAACCAATATTCCTAATTTAAGATTTTTAGAAAAGTAAAAATATTTCATGTACCAAACGCCTCCATAGGGACCAAATGTAGAAACTTAAAGGTAAAGATTATACTTCCATTAAATCCAAAATGTACAAATCACTATTATAGGACGGACATTCTATAACAAGTGGTTTGGACATTCTATAATGGCTCAGGACAATATAGATCTCAACGATATAGAATATTCACACATTCTATGATCGGTCAACACACGCATAAAAAGTTCACATTTTATGTCAGGTGATTGATGCTCGTCATAGTAAGAGGTACGAAATATGAAGGTTTAATATATTAACACCCACATTCTTTGATGTATATGATGATACCCATCATAGAATGTGATTTTTTTAATATATTATTCGCTTTATGAATTTTATAAACTTGCATAACAAATATATATTTTGGTATATTCGAGATAGTTTAATTCAACATATTATTCCCTAATTCAATCCTAATATAATATATAAAATATATATCATTTAAATTGACATACGGTATAAATTTACTTTCATAGCAATCAATCTAAATTTAATAATAATTGTCATTAATTAATAACAATGTACACCAATAAAACTAAAATAATGTACATAAATATTATGTACCAAAAGGAGAAAACTAAAATATAAATATGTAGTCAATGTACACAAACAAAACTAAAACAATGTAGTTAAACACAAATCAATCCTGAATAGCCTCAAAAAACAAGATGTCAATCTGGTGCAGATATCTTCCATGTCGTCATGGGAAAATGGATGTGGATTTTTGAATACCTAAGCAACTAATTCAAGAATAAAGATAAATTAAACATTAGTCAATCATTACATTGTTGTATAATCATTTAAAGTAATAAATTTGAATTTAAAATGTATTATCTCTCTCCGTGAATCCTTAATGTTGTTGATAATGACGATAAACATATACTTTATCACGTAATAGTCACACTCATGAATACCGACTTGATGTATGCACTATAAAATAAAACATAAATAAATCATACTTATAATATATTTTAATGAACTCTAACTACTATTTGGTTGATATTTGACTTAATTTGGAGGCAATATACTAAAGCTTCTTCTTAGCTATCGGAGGAAGCCCTTCAACTGCACGCTTGCTTCTAAAGACCTATAAAAGCAAAGGATAAATCAAAAATAGTTAAATGATACAATATTTATTTGTTTCATGAAATTATAAAAAAGAACCGACAAAGATTGATAGTAGATACTTATGAATCGATGATGTGTCTGAAGGTAAATCAGTAGTTTTCTTTTGTAATGAACAGAAGAGAACTATAATAAATTGCCGAAGAGATACCATTGTGCACTACATTTTTTAATATTGTTAGAAATATGTAAGTTACTATAACTAAAAATTAAACATAACAGAATTACTTATTCAAATAAGGTGCTAAATACACCTTCTTCAGTTAAAAGACTATCATGAATCTCTCAAGCTTTATGGTTTTAATGCTAGAAAATGAATCATTTATAAGAGAAAATATCTTCAAAGCATCTTTAAAAGTATCTTTTAAAATGCTTATTAGACGAAGTGTAAGACATAGTTTGTCTATAAGACGATGTAAATAAGACGAAGCATACAATCTATTTCATGTTTATTATTTATTGAGACTATCGACAAAGTTTATTTTCAATGCTTTATTCCTCAATAGATCAAACTAGAATATCATCTTGGAACTCAGAAAATCATACTTATTCTTTCTTATAAAAGTTTACTGCTTTATACTTGTTATATACGGTCTAAATGAGACTTACACAACATTTACATAACCTATATAACCATTGTTACAAGTTTGAGCCTAGAGAGATTTGTCTGTAAAATAATTTTTGTTTAAGCTTGAAGAGGCTTGCTTGAAAAGAATACTTGATTGTTAAGTCTGGACAGGTTTGTTATTAAAAGAATACTTGGATAGTTGCTTAAAGTGGCTAGTCAAAGAATACTTAGGGTTGAGCCATAAGTGACTTGTTGAAAGAGTACTTGTATCTTTGTTTAAAGATAGTGGAACTTAAATCTAGTTGAATTAAGAATTAGATGTAATATCGGTGGTAAAGACGAACCAGTATAAAAATACCTAATGTTCTATCTAATTTCTCTTCGCACTTTATTTGATTAGTGTTACTACTTCACTATGAAAAACATGCAAGTATTTGAAACCCTATTCAATACCCTTCTAGTGTTTATTTTTTCTCTACAATTTGGTATTAGAGCTTAACCTTTGATAGGATTGAGCATCTAATCATGTCAAAGGAAAAAAGAACCACAATGGGAAGTAGTGAAGGAAAATACCTACAAGAAAGAGCCTCTTTCACAAGGCCTCTTACTTTTAATATAGAGGACTACCCATAATAGAAGGATCGAATGGAGATATTCACCAAATTCATCCAATATCCCCTCTAGAGAATCATCACTCAAGGTGATGTTTCTGTTACCAAGCTTGGGAGTGAATGCATTCAGAATGACTACAATACATTGTAGCTCAACACCAAATCAAGATACACCTTTGCTTGCTATCTATCTAAAATGGACTATAACAAGTTCTACACCTGCTCGATAGCCAAGGAAATATGGAAGGCTATTAGGGTAACTCATAAGGGTACTAAAGATGTAAGGATCAAACAAGCTACTGCACAACAGAGACACTATGAGTTGTTCTCCATAAATGAGAGTGAGTCCACTGATGAAATATTTGGAAAATTCCAAAAATTTCTGAATGGGTTAAAATTTCTGGGCACTAAGTTTTCCTAAGCTCAAAATAATCTCAAGATCTTGGATAGTCTTCCAAAGATTTGGGAAACCAAAGCCACAACTATCTTAGAAGCATGTGACCTTAAAGTTGTCACCATTG